CAATGAAGATGCAATGCAGCCAAAAATAAAAATAAATAAATAAGTCAGTTAAAAATAAAATCAAGTAAGACATGACCTCTGCCTTCAAACAGCGTTAGAGGGGGTGAAATATAGATGAGTGAAATCCATGGTTAATTGTTAGGCATATGTACTGAGGAGGAATAATGGAATACAGAGTTGAAGGGGACCGGGTAGGGGTTGTTTGGTGTTTAAGTGTTGAGTTAGTGTAAGATAAGGAAACCAAATACTGTTAGGTGGTATTAAGTTTTCCAGAAAAGTTTCGGAGGTATTCTACTCTTCTCCTTTACTTTTCATAAGTCATTAACATGGAAACAACATATTTTTAAAACTGAAAATTAATATTTAATTTTCATAGATGAATGAGAATTCTCTTTGTAAACCAAAAAAGAAAAAACAACCCAACCACAAGCTGAACCTTCTTTAATTTTTGTGTTTAACATGATATAATTTTTCAAAGTGGGTAGTCAGTCTTCTTGAAGCCAAATTAATAAACTCCTGGAAGATTAAAAATGCATAGCTATTAAAATTTAGTGAGATTGCTAAAGCTTTTTTTTTTTTTTATCCTTATCAACAAATAAATGTATCTGTGGAAGTCAGAGAAATAGTAGCTTCCCAGGAGCAAAACATTTCTAACAATTAGATATCTTTTGTGAGAAACCCAGAAAAGGTATGACTGATAGCTTTCTTGGATTAAACTGAGGGTACTAAATGAAAAACAAATTAGGTACAGATGTTCAGTATATTGAGATTAATTTTATTCTCATGGGTATCATTTCCTTAGCTGCTTGGACTAACAGCAGTTTGTTTCCAGAAAAGTGAATATGTGTCAAAATAACTAAGTCAATCAACACAGTTCAGTAAGTTTTTCCTATATATGTATTTTGTAACTGGATAAATGTTTCTAATAAACAAAATATCTAGCATTTGTATTCATAATGACTTTCTATATAAGTAACATAAAATGTATTCATTTGTTCAATGAAGACATATCAGATACTGTGTTAGATTCTGGGGGATTGAAAAATAAATAAAACAAGTCTCCTCCTGGAGCTCCACTGTAGTGGGAAAGAGGCAAGTACGTACAAGATAGTAGGGCTCTAGTAGAAACACAAACAAAATGCTACGCGAACGTGAGTTCTTCTTACTAATCAATCTAAGATGCCATAATATAGTTCACTATCACAAAAAACACAAAACCATAATAAATAATATATGAGAATGGTTGATCTTTGGGTCAGTAATAATAACAATGCTTTTTACATGTTATGGCTGTTGATATTTTATAAAACACTTAGGTATATTAATATCACACATAGATATACATACCTTACAGTAGATAGGCCAACTTTAATTATCACTTAATATCTTTATCTTTGGTCTTTGTAAGCAACTTAAGAGTAGGAATCATGTCTTTCATCTTTGCATTCCAAGACCTAGCACAGTGCCTGTTGCACAGTAACAGTTTTAACATATGTTGAATGAATGCATGCATGCATGTATATATGAATATTGATGTTACATAAATAACACACTTCTGAGTTCACAGACAACAGAATTAAGTGCGATAGATGATATTTGACAAGAATATTTGCTATCTAAAATATCAGAGAGGTTCACTAAACAAAGGGATGTGAAGTTTAATAGGGATCAGTACTGACAGTACTTATTTATAGCAGACATGTGATTAATTTTTTAATATTCTCTCGAGATGTATAATCATGATACACAATAGACACTTGGCAACTACTTATTGAATGAACAGTTCTACCTCCACAATATATCTATTGGATCCAACTGTTCCTCTCCGTTGGCCTGAACTGTAATAGATTTCTGTGTACCTCCATTCTTGTCCTCTTCCAAAGTAGCTTTAGTTGCCATATTTGTCTCCCTAAAATAATTTGATCATGTAACTTCCATTCTCAAATTTCCTAAGCAGCTCCCTAGAATTCAGGACCCTTCATTTAAAAAATGTAATTAAAAAAGAGACATAGGAAGTGCATAGTACAAAAGTCTGGCACTGGCACTCAGCAGATACTAAACAGCTAAACCTTAATGAGCTAGGTTGACCTGGGAAAATTAGTTATTCATATGTTTTAAAATGAGAATGGATCCCTACACAAAAATCAATTTGTTATGTATTAAAAGATTTAAGTAGAAAAGAAAATATAGGATAACGTAAAAACAATCTCTGCTTAGCTCTGTTTAGTCTACCATCTGTTGTTTACTGCTAAGTTTCTTAGAGCCTCACCCTATACAAGCAGAGTTTAGGCAACTGCTAATGACTTGCGAGGAATTTGTACTCAGGTTTTTGGGTTCCTTCTCTTTGGTCCCCTTCTCTTCAGGAGTTTGCCCTTCAAGTTCCAGCTACTGCTAACACCAAACTACACCTGGGTTTCCCCAGCTGACTAAGAATCCTGCTTCCTGCTAGGGTTGTATTCTTTTGCTTTCCAATTTGGAAAATGCCTTGAAGGAAAAAGCCAGGATAAATGCGGAGCTAATTTCATGTGCTTCCCTACTCTGAACCATCCTGCCTATGCTGACTGCTCCCAGTGCCTTCAAACAATATGTTTTGTTCAGTTTTCAGATGTGTTTCGCAGATGAGCTGTTCTAAAATAGGTGGTCATGGTGAGAACTTATGCCTAGTCATGAAAGTCTCGGGTTGGTTGCTCCTTTTTGTGATTTCTTCTTTTATATCTTTAAATGTTCCATCAATGGTTAATTTATATTGTGTTTCTAATGGTGCCAATATCTGATGTTTTTGATAGAAATCTGTTCATTGTTTCAGCTGACTCTCCTTCACAGTAGATTGATTGCTCATGTGTTTGGTGATCTTTCACTGTGAGATCATATTTGGTCTGTTTTAATATGGGGGAATCCTGGAAGTTAAAGGTGAAGATATTTTTTCTAAGAGAATCTGTGTTTGTGTCTGCTTAGAGGCGGGGTGGGCTACAGAGCTGGGACATATCATCTCCAACTATTTTTGAAAATTATTTCTAGGTCGTCCACCATCTTATCCCTGCCTGAAGTATACTACCTCTGATTTCTTAATCATGGTGCTTTTGCATGAAGCACAAAACCAAACACAATACCCAGGTTTGATCTGGACAGAGCGGAGTATTAAAGAATAATTATCACCCTTGTTCTAGAAATTCTACTGCTAGTATAGCTTAAAGGTATATTACGGCTTTTGGCAAACATGCAAATACAAACAGGAACACAGAGACGGGGAAATGCATAATTAACAGATAGTTGAAAGAACATGAAACTTGTTACTTATGAAATCAGCTATGTAAACTGTGACATGTAAATCATAGTTCTATTTATTCTTTGACACTAAAGAAATCACTGCTTAAAAAAATAAAGGAGAAACAAAAAGCAAACAGAAACAACACACTGCATCTCACAGAGAGACTTAGCAGCTCACATGTCTGGTTGTGCTCTCCCCTTCTCTCAACCTTTTTCACATTATACCTATACAAAAGTGTCATACTGTTGGATCATCAACTTAAATTCTTTTTCTTTCCTCACATGATCCACTTGATGTGCAGTTAGTTTCCCCCAACTTACATTTTTAAAGTTGAGTTTTAAACCTAAGTGAATCACAATGAAAAAATCTAAAGTGTGTCAAATTCTTAGTAGTGGGGCTATTCCCAATCTGAAATGTTTACTTTTTTATGATAACAAGTTAAATAGAGTTACACTTCCTTAGTAAAGAATTTTAACAGCTGACAAGCCTAGGTGAAAGGTTATAAATACCTGAGCAGTAGTTAAAACTGAGATTGAAAATGAGAGAGTTTTTGAAAATTACTGTAATGAAAAGCAAATTCAAGAGCAATAACTTTGGAAATAACCTGACAGACCTAACTGATAAGAACATATAACTAGCATATTCAGAAGTATATCTTAATGTCAGTCTCTTTTTATGCTTTCAACTAATGAAAAGGTATTTTTCTAACCCCTCAATTAATCAGCTATATCTGGTTCACATTTTTTAATGGGAAATAACTCTAATAGTTTCTGCTGGATCTAACTAATTTTCATTGCTTTTTATTCCCAAAATACACAAGTGTAAAATAACAAAGAGAAAAATATCAGGCACTGGAAATATATTTTATAGACCAAAATTTTATGGTGAGAAAAATCATTTTCAGATAAATAAGTTTTCAAATAAATTTAGAAGCTTCCCATTTCATTGTTTTTTGATATGTTTAATCCTAAAAAACTGAGCTCTTAACAAGCCTTTAAAAACTTGAAATCATTTATACTAGCAATATAGATTTAGATTTTTAAAAATTTGAAAATACATTTCAGAAAATAAATTTCTTTTATGCTCCCTAATGCCACATACTTTATGGGCAACTACAACTTTTTACTGTAAAAGTAACACACATTAAGGAAAACATTTTAAACAATGAAAAGTATCAAAATTCATATATATTCCCAATATTTAAACTCAACCACTATTGAGATATATATACATTTCATATATATATATTTTGGCCGTACCACACAGCTTGCAGGACCTTAGTTCCCCAACCAGGGATCGAACCCATGCCCCCTGCAATGGAAGCGTGGAGTCCTAGCCACTGGATCGCCAGCAAATTCCCAAATCCAACCACTATTGACAATTTAGTGTGTGGTGGTTTTCTTTTTTTCTTTGCCTTTTTTCATGCATAAATTGACTTGTAATATAGTTTAATCATATTAATACATATAATTTTATTTCCTTTTTCCCAACTTAACTTTAGATCAGAAAATAGATTTCATCGCTGGAGGAACTTGGATAAGTGAAAGCAGCCACTGATGGTTATCTGTGCTTACTCTCTGCAGTTTAAAGATTACAGTTTTTAGAGAAAACATATGAAACTATGAGTTATATACCTGTAATTTCTTTACCATCTGTCCATCTCACAGTTCCATTAATCAATTAACAAATACCACAGAAAAGGTTTACTCTTCACGGTAGTTTTACTTCTCACCTTTTGAGCTGCAAGATGGAGGGCTGTTCTCTGGCTATGGTCAGTTTTATTAACATCTGCTCCTGCCTTCAGGAGAGTATCTGCACAATCCAGTCTGTCAGCCAACACACAATACATAAGTGGTGTTCTCCCAAATTGATCTTCTTTGTCTTTAACGGCAGAATTTCCTATGAGGATAAGAAACAGATAGTGATATTTGATAATTATTGTTTTTATTACTAATATAACTATGAACTATATTTACTAGCTGTTTCTTATCAAGTACTGTGGTAAATGCATTAAATATACTATCTCATTGTTACTCACCCTATGAGATAGATATTACTGTCCCTATAGTATAGGAAACTGAGACTTAGAGAAGTTAGGTAACTCGTACACATTACAATAACAGTAGGTGGTGAAGCTAAAATTCAAACTGATTGTTGACTTTAAAGGGTATGTTCTTAACAACTTTGTCATACTAAATTAACATTTTGAGATGTGAGGTTATTTTTTTCCTCCCTTACTCCTTTTGAGAAAAAATACTTAGTGTAGATCATACACTAGGCATTGTGGTATGTTTTTGAGATCTACAAAAATGAATCATGGTTGGCTTCCTGTTTTAGACAATGTGGAGCAAATGCATACTATCATGATCCTCCTGCTACTTAAAACTAAACACCCCAGGCAAAATAAATGAAAGGCGGTGAAAAGAAGGCAAATTGGTTAGGGAACTATGAAGCTTCAGGAACAACCTGGTATTGAGTTTCCTGATTTTTTTTTTTTTTTTGCCTCCTATATAAAGCCAGCCTGGGTGCTAAAGTAGCTCATCAGAAATACCAGTGGGCACATACACAAAATTCCCCAAGAAGCCTGCTCTCTCCAGTCAAAATATTGGGAAGCGAGTAGCTCTGCAGGAGTGAACTCTTTTGACTATACTTCTGCTACTCAAAACACATACAACAAGGCTTCCCTGGTGGCACAGTGGTTGAGAGTCCGCCTGCCGATGCAGGGGACACGGGTTCGTGCCCCAGTCTGGGAAGATCCCACATGCCACGGAGTGGCTACGCCCGTGAGCCATGGCCGCTGAGCCTGCGCGTCCGGAGCCTGTGCTCCGCAAACGGGAGAGGCCACAACAGTGAGAGGCCCACATACCGCAAAAAAAAAAAAACAAAAAAACAAAACACATACAACAAAACAAATTGTACCTCTTTTCCTCTCCAATGGATACTGCAGAGACTGTGGGGAGGAGCCCTATGAAGCATTGTGCCTTGAATTAGGCAAAGGATGGCAACAAGGTGGTATCTTGCCCCTTCCCAACTAGAGAGTGGGGAAAGGTTATGGAGAGGAGGAAGCTAGAGAAAGCAATTCTTTAAATCAGTGCATGATGCCATGGATAACTGAGCAGCCCATATGTGAAACTGACCAGAGTCAAAACAGCAAAAGCTTTGAGAATGGAACTCTTGGTGGGATACTTCCTAGGTTCTAAATTGGCCTGAGTAGCACAAAAATGGGGCAGACCAGAAAATAACTCGCAAGAGCTCTCAAAGCTAACTTGACATTTGAACCACAGTCTACAAAATTGGAACAAAATGTTCATTCTAAACCTAAACAGATTGTCAGTGTACTAAAACAGGAGATTTAAAGTAGGATCCAGAGTCTCATAAGATAATACACAAAATGTCCAAGATATAATCCAAAATTACTAGACAAACCAAACACCAGGAAAATATTAAACAAGAAAACACAATCAGCAGGCACCAAAACTGTGATGATAGAGATACTAGAATTATCTGACAAAGATTTTAAAGCAATGGTCATAAAAATGCTCTGACGAGCAACTATGAATGCTCTTGAAACAAATGGAAAAATCCAAAGTCTCAGCAAAGAGAGAAAATATAAAGATGAACCCAGTGAAAAATTTAGAATAATAAATGTTTAAAAATAAGTAAAAAACCAGACTTCCCTGGTAGCACAGTGGTTAAGAATCTGCCTGCCAATGCAGGAGACACAGGTTCAAGCCCTGTTCCAGGAAGATCCCACATGACGCGGAGCAACTAAGCCCATGTGCCACAACTACGGAGCCTGCACACCACAACTACTGAGCCTGTGCACCACAACTACTGAAACCCACATGCCCAGAGCCCGTGCTCCACAAAAAGAGAAGCCACTGCAATGAGAAGCCCATGCACCGCAATGAAGAGTAGCCCGCACTCGCTGTAACTAAGCCTGCACACAGCAAAAGACCCAATGCAGCCAAAAAAAAAAAAAAAAGTAAAAAACCAAATAAAATAACCAAAATAAAAATCTCATCTAATAGGCACAATAGCGTAATGGAAATGACAGAGGAAAGAATCACTGAACTTGATGACAGACCAATAGAAATTATTCAGTCTGAACAACTGATAGAAAAGATAGAAACAAAAAGAATCAACAGAGTCTCAGGGCTCTGTGGGATAATAACAAAGTTTCTACCATTTATATCATCAGAGTCCCAGAAAGAGAGGAAAAAGAATGAAGGGCTGAAAACATATTTGAAGGAATAATGGTTAGAAATGTCCCAAATTGGGTGAAAGACACAAACCTACAAATTTAAGAAGTTGAACAAAGCTCAAACAAAATAAACCCAAAGAAATTCATACTGAGTCAATCAAAATCAAATTTCTGAAAACTAAATTCGAATTACAGTGTATTTCTCATAAGAAACTATAGAGGCCATAAGGCAATAGCACAACATTTTTCAAGTGTTGGGGGAAGGGGGAAGAACTGTCAACCCAGAATTTTATATCTAGTGCTTGCATAGGGCCAGGGGTAGGGAGAAAAGAGGAGTGTTTGAGGGGTCATAGCTAAAGGGTACAGGATTTTATTGGGGGGTAATGAAATAAAATCAATTATGGTGATGTTTGTACAACACAACTCTGTGAATATACAAAAACTACTAAATTGCACACTTTAAATTGGTGAACTGTATGGTATGTTGGTATGGTGGATCTCAATAAAGCTGTTACAAGACACTCTGCTACATACACATTAAAATGGACTATTAAAAACATTTAAGAAATGCAGAGGAAGACAGGAATGGGGGATTGAAAAACAGAGGAAACAATATGTAATAAGTTGGAAATCTTAAATTCTAACATTAATGATTCCATTATTGTCAAATGGTATAAGCACACCAATAAAAAGATTTAAAAAAAAAAGGAGGACCCACCTATATGTTGTTTATAAGAAACTCACGTGAAATATAATGGCATAAATAGGTTAAAAGTAAAAGATTGAGCACAAATTTACCATGTGAACACTAATCAAAAAAAGCTGGAGGGCTCTCCTGGTGGCGCAGTGGCTGAGAGTCCGCCTGCCGATGCAGGGGACATGGGTTCGTGCCCCGGTCCGGGAAGATCCCACATGCCGTGGAGTGGCTGGGCCCGTGAGCCATGGCCGCTGAGCCTGTGTGTCCGGAGCCTGTGCTCAGCAATGGGAGAGGCCACAGCAGTGAGAGGCCCGCGTACCGCAAAAAAAAAAAAAAAAAAAAAAAAAAAAAAGGGGGGTGCTGGAGTGTCTATATTAATATCTGATAAAGTAGACCTCAGAGCACAACTACCAGAGACAAATAGAAATATTATACAATGATAAAAGGTTCAGTTCATCAAGAATACATGACAATCCTAAATGTGTATGTACCAAACCACAGAGCTTCAAAATACACATAGCAAAAACTGGGAGAATTGAAAATACACTTGAAAAATTCACAATTAGAGCTGGTAACTTCAACACCCATCCTTCAATAATTGCTTGAACCACTAGAATGAAAATCGCAAGCATAAAGAAGAAGCAAATACTATCATAAAGCAGCAGATATACTGGTATTTATTGAACATATTATCCATTGACAGCCAGATACACAGTCTTTTAAAACAACCATGGGACATTTACTGAAATAGACCACAGATTGGTCATAAATGTTAACAGATTTGAAGAAGCGAATTCATATGAAGTATGTTCTCTGACCATAATGTAATTAAACTAGAAATCAATAATAGAAAGATAATTGGAAATCACTGAATATTTGGGAATTATTCAGTGATTAATTAATTAACTATGATTAATTAACTATGTGTTCAACACATAGACAATCCATTGGTTAAAGAGAAAATCTCAAGGGAAATTAAAAAATACAGTTAAATGAAAGAAAATAAAAATACTATTGTAAGATTCCTATCCTACACATGAGGAGAGCTTAGAAGGAAATATACAGCATTGAATACTTGTATTAGAATAGAAGAGTAGTTTCAAATCAGTGATCTATGCTTCTACCAGGACCCCCTCCCCCCCAAAAAAAAGAAAAAGAAAAAAAAAGAGCAAATTTAACCCAAAACAAGCAGAGGAAGTACATAATAAAGATTAAAAGTAGAGATCAATGAAATTAAAGTCTGAAAAACACTAGAGAAAAATCAGTGAAGCTAAAAGTTGGTTCTTGGAAAACATCAATAAAATTGATAACTCTTCAATCAGATTGATCATTAAAGACAGAGCAGACAAAAATTTCCAATATCAGGAACTGAAGTAGGGATATCACTACAGAGCCTGTAGACATTAAAAGGAAAATAAGGGGATATTATAAATAATAAACAATTTCATGCCCATAAATTCACGATTTAAATAACAAAAAAAATAGACATATAGATCAATAGGACAGAGGTGAAAGTACAGAAATAGACTCATATATATGATCAATTGATTTTTTTGGAGTAACAAGTATTCTTTTATTTATTTATTTTAAAATTTTATTGAAATATAGTTCATTTACAATATTGTGTCAGTTTCAGGTTTCGAGCAAAGTGATTCAGTTATACATACATACATATATATATATTTTATATTCTCTTCTATTATAGGTTATTATAAGATACTGAGTATAGTTCCCTGTGCTATGCAGTAGGCCCTTGTGCGTTATCTATTTTATATTTAGTAGTATGTATATTTTAATCCCAAACTCCTAATTTAATCCCTCCTTGATCAATTGTTTTTTTTGTTTTTTTTTTTGCAGTACGCGGGCCTCTCACTGCTGTGGCCTCTCCCGTTGCCAGGCTCCAGATGCTCAGGCTCAGTGGCCATAGCTCACGGGCCCAGCCGCTCCACGGCATGTGGGATCTTCCCGGACCGGGGCACAAACCCGTGTCCCCTGGAT